AAAAAAAAAAATTCAGTTCTTACTTTAAAATCAAATAAAAAATTCATTCATTTAGATAAGAATTTTATTGATTGATTAGTAGGATTTACGGACGCTGAAGGTAATTTTAATATTAGTTTAAAAGGTTTACAAGGTAGTAAATATAATAGTTTAAATTTAACTTACCAAATTACTCTGCATATAAATGATTTATATGTTTTAGAATATATCAGAAACAGATTAAATTGTGGAAGTATTTCTAAATCAGGTGATAAATGTAATTATTTTGTAAATGATCAAAAATCACTAATAAATGTTATTGTACCTATATTTAATTATAGAGAGTTAAAGAGTTCTAAATTTTTTCAATATTTGAATTTTAAAAAAGCAGTTCATTTATTAATAGATAAAAACCATTTAACTCTTAAAGGTAAAATAGATATCTTACAATACTATCATGATATGAAACTTATAAATCAAAACTCTAAAGCTAGAGAAAATATGATTATAGATGAGTACTGACTAATAGGATTCACAGAAGGAGATGCGACTTTTAGTTCAAATAAATTAAAACCAAAGATAAAGTATGAAAATCACATAAAAGAATTAGAATTATTTAAAAGTATTTTAAATTACTTAAAACATGGTAATTTATATACATCCGATAGAAAGTCAGCTGGTTCTGTTATATTAGAAATTAATAATATTAATATTTTAATGAACAGAATAATACCTATTTTTTCTAAAGGTATGTTGACTAAAAAATCTTTAGACTTTGAAGATTGATCTATCATAGTTAAAATTACTTATTATGGGTACCATACTTTAGATGAAGGTAAAGAATTAATTCATCTCATTAAAGCTAATATGAATAATTTTAGATTAAATCCTGATTTTCTTACAAACTATGATCAAAATAAAGCGTTAATCGAGCAAAAGCTAAATTATCTATTATCGTTGCCAAGCCCTTATGAAGTAAAAGAGGGAATTTTATTTTTAAGGGGTACTGATAAATTAGTGTCGAAATTTTTTAAAATAAAAGTAGAAAATACTAATGGTAAGATACATTATTTTACTAGTATATCAGAGTGTAGCTTAACTCTTAACATACCTAGTAAAATAATTAAAAATTGTTTATTATCAGGTCTTCAGCATAAAAATTACACGATTAAATTTGATACCATTATTGAATAGAGTTGACAGAAAACAGGATAAATTGCATGAAACTTCTACTTCACCATTCATATGTGTTTATGTAGGACAATATGCAGCCAAGCATATATTAAATAAAAATTAAAAGGAATATATGAAGGTTCAACGACTAGTAGGTGAGTACTTTATTTACAATAAGCCTACCACGAAAACCTGCAATCATTTATTGATTGATGACATAGTCTGAACCCTTTTGAAAAGAAAGGGAGGTAAGGGATAAGGAGCCCTTACGTTAACAATAATTGTACATTCATCTTCCTATTTGGACAGGAAAAGTAGTGTAAAAAAGTATGTTAGTTCTAGATCTTTTTTTACATTTACTTCTCGTAATGACAAAAAAAACTTACTACCTTTAGACCCACAAATATTTCAATTAGATCCTTGATTTATTACAGGATTTGTCGATGCAGAAGGTTGTTTTTCTATTAGAGTTAGAAAATCTAAATCTAAAAAAACTCTAGTGCCTTGAAATGTAGAATATATCTTTTCAATTCATCTTCATTCTCGAGATTTGCCGCTTTTAAAAGAAATTCAAGCTTATTTTGGAGGTATTGGAAGAATAACAGAGGGAAAAAATAACTGTGGGTACTACGTATCTTCTATAGAAGAGTTAACTACTGTTATTATACCTCACTTTATTAAATATCCTCTAATTACTCAAAAGCTTGCAGATTTCCTTCTCTTTAAATCCGTTGTAAATATTATTAATACCAAGGAACATTTAACAATGAAAGGGTTACAGGAAATTGTGTCTATTAAAGCTTCTATTAATCTCGGTTTAAACGATGAACTAAAGGCTGCCTTCCCTGATACTGTGCCAACATTAAGACCTTTAGTTGAAAGTATGCAAATTCTTTCTAAAGCTAAGTCTTCGGCCAATTATGAAATTCCTCTTACAACGCCAGGTAGCACCCAATGGATGAAAGTTGGACAGTGAGTGGCGGGTTTTGTTTCCGGAGATGGTTCTTTTGCGATTACTGAAAACAAATCTTCTTCTAAATTTTACTTAAGTTTAGTCTTTAGTATATCTCAGCATAGTAGGGATTCATCACTAATTAGTAGTTTCGTGGATTTTTTTGGTTGCGGTGTATACCGTTCAACCTCTGCAAACCGAACTACGGTATATTTTGAATGTATGAGTTTTGCAGGCAATTATGAAAAAATCATGCCGTTTTTCCGTGAATTCAACATAAGAGGTGTAAAATCCAAAGATTTTGATGCTTGGTGTAAAGTAGCCAAAATAATAAAAGCCAAGGGTCATTTAACCAAAGAAGGATATGACTTGGTTTGCCAAATAAAATCTAATATGAATAAAGGGATATAGTAAGTATTTTAAGAGTTTGACACCTTTTCTTTTACCCTTTGCAGTAAGCAGAGGGTGGAATTACGGACTCTTACATGCCCTGTTGTCTTTTTTTTT